ATTCCCCAGCCAGCATGCTGGCTGGGGAATTCTGGGAGTTGAAGTCCACACATCTTCAAGTTGCCAAGGTTGAACAACACTGGCTTAGAAGAAAGCAAAGCGCAATAGGCATATCGGACAGCACTGTTTGAAACTACAGCAGGAACAGACATTTGGGGGTCCCCTTCCCAGTGTGTGTATGTGGGGGTGGGGTGAACACTGGACAACATCATCCATTCCTGCCCTCCAAAAGTGGTTGCTGGCCCTTACTGGTGACAGATCAACCTGACAATCCAGATAAGCCCTTTGTTACTAATACATTTAGCTATGGTATTTATATTATCTGTTCAATTATTTGTTTACTGTTCTGTAGCTTACAGAATAAATAAATGAAAACAAATGAATACTATACACTGGGCTGGAATGAGTTTTACTCATGTTTAGTGTTGGTTTATCAAACTTAACTAGCCAGTTAAACCACAAATAATTTTAGTCTCTAAGGATGATAGAGGTTTCAATCTTCTGGTTCCTGGAGCAAGGGATTAAAAAGGCAAGAAACCAGATTACAGAAATGCAGACTCATATAGTGGAAGAGGCCATTTATGCAACTGAATCTGACCCACTGCTTTGGGATCAGAGAGAATGGACTGTTCCCAATATGGTGAGCATTCTGCACTAGCCCTATTACTAACCTAAAGATTTTACTTTCCCTGATAAAACCCCACATTTCCTTCCTGCCAAGAACTCATATAGGGCCATTTGTTTCTGCAGTCGAACCTATCCAAATATACAGCAAGCTATTAAAGGAAGGTGCAGGAACATCTGGCAAGGGTGAAGTCCCAACCTATCTGAAGAAGGGTATTTGAGAATTGTAAAAAAATAACGCCAACTTCTTTCTGCTTCTGTAGTTTGTTTATGGTGATCATCAATCGCCCAACACAGCGATCATACAAATGACTTTCCTGCGCTTACTCTCCAAAGAGGCCTCTCAGAATATCACCTACCATTGCAAAAACAGTATAGGTTACATGGATGACCAAGCTAAGAACCTGAAGAAAGCTCTGGTGCTGAAGGGAGCCAATGACCTTGAGATGAGAGCTGAAGGAAATAACCGTTTTAGATACAGTGTCCTCTCTGACACCTGCTCTGTAAGTTTGTGGTCTTTTCAGCACCAAACTAATCTTGGGGCATAAACTGAACCTGGGTGGAGTGGGATGGGGGACAGCTACTTCAATTGTTTCTCATGGGGGAAAAAATCCTCACAGCACTGAATTCTAAATCAGGGTAATTTATAGCAGTAGAGGGAGTTGAGAAAGGAAGGTGGTACAGAGCTGATTTTGCTTTATAATTTGCAGCTACTTCCTTGAGGAAGTAGAAGGCCCTGTGGCGATACTGGTTATCGGGTCCAAAAGCCAACCTGAGAGAGGAAACATCTTGATTTATTGTTGCGATATCCAGAGAAAGGATCGTAGCACTTTTTTGTTGTAGAGCATCAACTAACTGATAGTTATCTACCTGCTAACCAAAATGTAAGCAGGGTTACACCTACCAAATCACTGTATGTACCAAGGGTCTGGACTGGGGTGGTGCTTATTGATGAGATCTTGCATAGAATGCATTAATTAGCCTGATCTGGTTTTCTTCTTGATATGCAAGGAATCCGACTGATAACCTTTCCTTCCTTCCTTCCTTCCTTCCTTCCTTCCTTCCTTCCTTCCTTCCTTCCTTCCTTCCTTCCTTCCTTC